AGGTGTGTGAGGCAGAAGGTAGGGTTCTCAGGTGTGTGACAGGCAGAAGGTAGGGCTCTCAGGTGTGTGAGGCAGAAGGTAGGGTTCTCAGGTGTGTGAGGCAGAAGGTTGGGTTCCCAGGTGTATGAGGCAGAAGGTAGGGTTCTCAGGTGTGTGAGGCAGAAGGTAGGGTTCCCAGGTGTGTGAGGTATCAGGTAGGGTTCTCAGGTGTGTGAGGCAGAAGGTAGAGTTCCTAGGTGTGTCAGAGGCAGAAGGTAGGGTTCCCAGGTGTGTGAGGGAGAAGGTAGGGTTCCCAGGTGTGTGAGGCAGAAGGTAGGGTTCTCAGGTGTGTGAGAGGCAGAAGGTAGGGCTCTCAGGTGTGTGAGGCAGAATGTAGGGTTCTCAGGTGTGTGAGAGGCAGAAGGTAGGGTTCCCAGGTGTCGTGAGGCAGAAAGGTGGGTTCCCAGGGTGTGTGAGCAGAAGGTTAGGGTTCTCAGGTGTGACGGCGGCGGTTAGGGTTCCAGGTGTGTGAGGCAGACAGTAGGGTTCTCAGGTGTGTGAGCAGAAAAGTAGAGTTCTCAGGCGTGCTTGTGAGGCAGACGGTAGGGTTCTCAGGTGTGTGAGGCAGACGGTAGGGTTCTCAGGTGTGACGCAGGCGGTAGGGTTCTCAGGTGTGTGAGGCAGACGGTAGGGTTCTCAGGTGTGACGCAGGCGGTAGGGTTCTCAGGTGTGTGAGGCAGACAGTAGGGTTCTCAGGTGTGTGAGTCAGACAGTAGAGTTCTCAGGCGTGTGAGGCAGACTGGGTAGGGTTCTCAGGTGTGACGCAGGCGGTAGGGTTCTCAGGTGTGTGAGGCAGACGGTAGGGTTCTCAGGTGTGACGCAGGCGGTAGGGTTCTCAGGTGTGTGAGGCAGACAGTAGGGTTTCTCAGGTGTGTGAGTCAGACAGTTTAGAGTTTCTCCGGCGTGTGGGCAGATGTAGGGTTCTCAGGTGTGACGCGGCGTAGGGTTCTCATGGTAGTGTGAGGCAGACGGTTGGTTCTCAGGTTGTGACGAAGGCGGTAGGGTTCTCAGGTTGTGAGAGGCAGACGGTAGGGTTCTCAGGTGTGTAAGGGAGACGGTAGGGTTCGCAGGTGTGTGAGGCAGACGGTAGGGTTCTCAGGTGTGTGAGGCAGAAGGTAGGGCTCACAGGTGTGTAAGGCAGCCAGTAGCGTTCTCAGGTGTGTGAGGCAGACGGTAGGGTTCTCAGGTGTGTGAGGCAGGACGGTAGGGGTTCTCGGTGTGTCCCAGGCAGACGGTAGGGTTCTCAGGTGTGTGGGCAGGGACGGAAGGGTTCTAGGATGTGTGAGGCAGACGGTAGGGTTCTCAGGTGTGTGAGGCAGACGGAAGGGTTCTCAGGTGTGTAAGGCAGACAGTAGGGTTCTCAGGTGTGTGAGGCAGACGGTAGGGCTCTCAGGTGTGTAAGGGAGACGGTAGGGTTCTCAGGTATGTGAGGCAGACGGTAGGGTTCTTAGGTGTTTCAGGCAGACGGTAGGGTTCTCAGGTGTGTGAGGTAGACCGCAAGGTTCTCATGTGTGTGAGCCAGAAGGTAGGGTTCTCAGGTGTGTGAGGCAGACGGTAGGGTTCTCAGGTGTGTGAGGCAGACCGGTAGGGTTCTCATGGTGTGTGGAGGCATGACGGTAGTGGTTCTAGGTGTTGTGAGGCAGACTGTAGGGTTCTCAGGTGTGTGAGGCAGACTGTAGGGTTCTCAGGTGTGTGAGGCAGACTGTAGGGTTCTCAGGTGTGTGAGGCAGACTGTAGGGTTCTCAGGTGTGTGAGGCAGACTGTAGGGTTCTCAGGTGTGTGAGGCAGACGGTAGGGTTCTCAGTGTGTGAGGCAGACGGTAGGGTTCTCAGGTGTGTGAGGCAGACTGTAGGGTTCTCAGGTGTGTTAGGCAGATGGTAGGGTTCTCATGTGTGTGAGGCAGACTGTAGGGTTCTCAGGTGTGTGAGGCAAACGGTAGGGTTCTCAGGTGTGTGAGGCAGACTGTAGGGTTCTCAGGTGTGTGAGGCAGACTGTAGGGTTCTCAGGTGTGTGAGGCAGACGGTAGGGTTGTCAGGTGTGTGAGGCAGACTGTAGGGTTCTCAGGTGTGTGAGGCAGACGGTAGGGTTGTCAGGTGTGTGAGGCAGACTGTAGGGTTCTCAGGTGTGTGAGGAAGACTGTAGGGTTGTCAGGTGTGTGAGGCAGACTGTAGGGTTGTCAGGTGTGTGAGGCAGACTGTAGGGTTGTCAGGTGTGTGAGGCAGACTGTAGGGTTGTCAGGTGTGTGAGGCAGACTGTAGGGTTGTCAGGTGTGTGAGGCAGACTGTAGGGTTGTTAGGTGTGTGAGGCAGACTGTAGGGTTTGTCAGGTGTGTGAGGCAGACTGTAGGGTTTCAGGTGTGTGAGGCAGACTGTAGGGTTGTC